AGCCGACATGAACGAACATGAGCCGAACATGATCCCACAGCAACAACACATGAAATGAAATGCGAAAACGAATGCACACAGAACAGACACAAAATGCATAACTTCACGCAGGCGGCTGGTTGCAGTGCAAAAAATAGTATTTTGCACCCAACAAAGCGTACTTAAGACGTATTGTTTCCAACACTACTCTCGTTTGGGTTTGTTGCCGCCAGGTTGGGGTCTCTAGTGAACTAAAAAACATGGCTCACAGCCAGCAGTTCAACATATTGGTAATGCTACAGTCCTACAAACCCCGCAAAGAGCAACAAAGGCAACAGTGCGAAAACCAGCATGGTGTTCATGAAAATCAGCTCCAAGTAAAAGAGATTACACGCCGATATGAGGCATTGGATCATCGTCACACTTTCGTCAGCTGTTGGGCTCTGACACACTGAAGACGAGAACAGCAGGTTAATGTCTAAACCCTGGCTAGTGCGTTGTCTAAACACCACGCTGCAAGTAATCAATACCTGTCGGGTGGGTTGTCGCGTTGTTGCCCACATCCCCCTCGTCGCTCTCTGGCAACGACAGCGAGGCAAACGCCACCACATCAGCCTGCACAGGGGGGTTGGTTAATGTGGCTTGCGTAGAATGGGCTGGTGGGGCGGGAGTAACCCCCGCAGGCACAGGAGTTGTTCCGACGTGCACAGCAGTAGCTCCACCGGGAGGGGTGGGCTGTGCAGGTGCAAGAGCCACGGCAGGAGGGGCGATGCCTGCATTCGCCGGGGCAAGTGTGGTTGGAGCAGCTGCGGGTGCGGTTGGCGCTGCTGCCACGACAGCGGGGGGTGCAGGGGCGGGTTTGGCACCACCGAGGGAAGCAATCTCGACGCGCCACCTTTCCCACCGCCCCCAGACGCGTGCGGCAGTGAGCTGCCGCACGATCTCGGCCGTGCAGCCATCCAGCAGGTCCATCTCCTCGCCGGTGAGCTGCCACACACGACCCCGGGGAGGCTTGCTCCGCCTGAGCACGGCTGCAGCTGCAGCGAACGCGCGGGCCGCTTGCTGCTGGTCTTGGAAGTGGCCAAGAATCAGCGTCCTTGATGACCCGGGCTCAGGGACAATCTTCGCTTGCCAAGTTCCGTCTGGGAGGAGCCTAACACCCGCGTACTCCCCCGATCCAACCACTCCCCCGACAGAGTGTGATGGCGGTGGCGGCGGGCCCATACACCCAGAGTGATCCTCCGAAGGGGCAGGCAGAGCTCCACCGCGCGCACCGCAACGATACGAGGTCAATGCATCGCCGGGCGAACCGGGCAGCAGCCCGTTGATAACGCCGAGGGCCGTTTGAATCTGATGAGAATCCCCTTGCTGCTCGAGTTGCGCAGTCGGCGCCAGAATTTGCTGGGTGGCAGGGTCGTCGGTTCTCGCGCTGGGTCCGCCCGCTCCTCCAATACGCCCCTGCTGCGGCGGTGCTGGTAAGGCTGCAACTTGCGCTGACAACGCGGTGAGCTCGTCGCGGGTGGTGGACAAGTCGTTGGTGAGACTCTCCACCAGGAGCTCGAGCTTGGTGATGTCTTTCTCACAGTACCCCACGCGGCAGGAGATGTTGTGGATGTCGCCGACAGCATCACGCAGCTTCGCGTCGATTTCGGCCAGCTCCGGAGACACTGGCTTGTTCACGCGCTTGCTGAGCGGCGGATCTTGGTGGGGCACCATAACTCCGGACCTCTCCAGGGTTGGGATCAACCGCTTGAGTGCATGTTCGACTATGTCCGCACGCATCCTCCTCCGGAAAAGGCCACCACCATAGGGCAAGGCTGGCAGCCCATCGTCCAGATTAGCGAAGCCACGGGCAACAAGCTCAGATGCGTAGATGCAAACGTAGACACCACAGTCTACTTGGTTGGCCTGCATCGGGCACTGATAGTACTGCACACGCGAAATCAAACAAGGTGAGCAATATTGATGGACGTTCCACGGATGAGGTCTGTTAAAAAAAAACTGCGCGAAACATTTGAGTGCTTACCCCAAGCGGGACGCAAGGCATCGGATCAAGCCGCTGCTTGATTGCGGTGGCAGAGAGGCCGGGCTCCTCGGCTTGTAGCGCCAGACCGAGCAGCCTGGAAACAGCAACGATGCATGCATAAGTGCATTACAAGCGGCGAATCAACCGTGCGATCATAAGCACGACGAAAGTTAGGAGGCGATGCATGCCCGTGCAACTTACGTTTGGATCTCGGCGAACACCGACGGAGCCATGTTCCGATGATCACCAGTCGAGTCGAACAGGTAGGCCACCGGAAGCTCCGTGTTCCCCGATTTTATAGCAGTTGTTCTTGCCCTGCCAGGCTCCTTGACAACAACAAGGCTGAAATGCCTTGGCTCACTGCCACAATACCAACTTAAATGTAAGTACACAGCATGGCGATGCCGCGGTACGCGCGTACATCGAGATTGTGCATGCATGTCTTACAGTGTAGTTACAACTACAAGGACGTAGTTGTAGTCAAGGATGGTGCCGCCCTCGAATCCAGTGAAGAGAACCTGTTGATTCGCCGCCATCAAATACGCTCCAGTGTCAAGCGCAACCCATGTCTCCCCGCTTGGTGTTTTGGAATGCCTGATGCTCAGCAAACTGCGCGGGGTGAATACACAGACACGGAGAGCCGGTGTTAGGCGCCGGCACTATAGTGTGAGTCTGCTTACCCGCGGGAACAACGCACTCACATGTTGTGGAAGTCGATTAATGCCGTGCTGAGCTCGTATCCATCCTGAATGCGCATCGCGTCCATAGGGCTCACGAAGGCGTTTTGGCCGAGGGCGTTGTACAACGGCTTCGTTGGGAAGTGCTGACTCTTGATGGTAGGGCCGCGACAGCCTTTAGTTTGAGCCGGCGGCCCACGACCTTTGGTGAAGGCGGTGATGATGTCATCGACGGGCGGCAACACCTCCTTGTTCACTATGTTGGTTTTGAAGTTGAAGCCACCGGTGCTATGCTGCTTCTCCGGTCCTTTCCGTTGCTTCCCCTTTCTCCTGCCTTTCCCGTGCTCGTCGGTGACGAGCTTGACGTCCGAATCGTGCGATTCACCGCCGTCGGATTCCTCGTGGCCCGACTCATCCTGCCGTTTACCGAGGACCGTTTTGCTACGAAGATCCATCACACGCCCAGAACGCTATACGCCACCGAATAGCTACGAATTTGCAATGACTAAGGTATCGCGAGTACAAGAAACAAACCACAAAGAGCACAAAGGTGGGATGATTGTTGATAGCTATCACAGAGGGAAAGGGTACGAGAGAGGGGAGCTGTGACGGTCGTGATGTGGCATGAAAGCTCATGTTCAGAGCTTGGCGGCGAGGATAAGTTCATGAATGCAGGATTAGGTTCATGTACGCTGTCAAATCCGCCCTCGGCAATTGGTCTGAACTCATGCTCGAGCATGACCGTCGATTGGTCGCCTGGTTCTACATTACCGTACATGATCGGTATCGAGGTACCACTCCATGTCGTTGTTACACTACCTATAACGTTGGCGCGTCCAAAAGAGCCAGTGCATGTTACTCTGGCGCGCTGAACAAATCACCAATTTTCCGACCAATAAGAACAACCACCCGTGGCGAATGTGTGGAGCCTGGCTGGAATTTGGAAATGGTGACTCTTTGTGAGTTTTACGCGATAGCATGCGGCTGCCCGAATGACGGTAGGGAAAGGGCGGGAAAAGGGGGCTGGGGGGGGCGGGGGGAAGGGAGGTCGATCCAATTTAGAAAAACGCCCACGTGGCGAGCAGGGAGCAATTTAGGTCGATTCAATTGAGACAAACACGATTTTCGCCGATGCGCGCGATTTCGCCGTGTTTCGAATATCCCTTCGTCCTCCTCGACATTCAGGACGTGTCTCATGTGAAGGGTCTGCTGGATCTGGTCCGCGACCAGAATCTATACGCCTGGTCCGGGGTTCTGGTCCGACGGACCCACTTGGCGGACCAGCATTGGACCAGACACGGACTGGTCTGCCTAATCCGTCGCGCTTCGGTCTGCACAGTATTTGCGAGATGCAGCAGTAGCAACGAATTCGAAATGTAGTTACCCATTTTCTTCGTCTGCACAAAAGTCTCACGCGAAACTTACAAAATAAGAAATTTCGCAAAAATAAATGTTTCACCACCTACTGTTTACGGACCAGGCGCGGACTGGTCTGGAGGGCCAAATAAATGGCACCGTTTTAGTGTCATTCGAACAGTATAACGGGGTTACAGGCTCTCATCCTGGTCCCGGTCCGCCCTGGTTCACGCGCTGGTTCTTGAGCTGGTCCGTCAGGTCCGAGCCGGACCCACGTGGACTCAGACATCTGAGACACCCTCTCAACCTCTTCGCTTTCCCCTCGTTCTGCTCGGGGCACGCCAGCACAGCAACCCCAACCCCACCATTCATTCCCCTTCAATCGTTCACAAACCACCCTCTTTTTCGTAGCTCTGCATCCAAGGCTGAGCTGCGCGCATTTCCGTCTGCTATCTTGATCGGACGGTTCAGCTTTCCCGGCAATGGCGGGTGGTTTGGCAGCGCTCGCGGAGGTGTCGCTCGCGAAAGAGAAGATCGTATTGGACGAGGCTGATTGGAACGCGATTCTCGACGCCATGCGGCCGTACGAGAACCGTGCGCCCAATGACACGACACTCCGTACGCCGAACCGTGCGCCGAACGGTACGCCGGCGGAGAAGAAACGGAACGGCACGACGAGCGTCGTCCGGAAAGCAGCCAGCGCTGTCAAGAAGACACTCAGCTCGATCACTGTAACGAAGACGAGGCTTATAACGAAAAAGAGCACGCTAACGAGGACAACCGAGGCGGAAGGGGGGCCATCGCCTCCCGCCAAGCGTAGAAAGCTCGATAGCGCGGGTCACGATCAGACTGGCAAGGGGGGCGGAGAGGAGGGAGAAGCAGGCAAGGAGGGGGAGAAGCAGGGCGTGTGGTGGTCGTTTAAACTTCCGGAAGTGAGCCTCAAAGACCCTAATAAATCGTTAATGAGTGAGCTAGTAACGCGGAAGATCGGCGGAGGTTCAGGGGTCAAGGACGGGGGTTTAGCGGCGAAGAACGTGAACGGTAAGGGCAAAGGCGCAGCTAATGCACCATCAGTAGCGGTGGCGGCAGCGGCAGCGGCGGCGGCGGCAGCGACGTCACAGAAGCGGAAACTACCGTCGTGGGCGGAGGGGAAGGGGCCGGGGGCAGCGGTGGTGAAGGGCGCGGATCAAGTAGTGGCGGCCCCCGGCCACGCGCGCGACTTTTCTTTCCGCCGCGACGTGCAAGGTGCGAGCATTGGGTTTGATGGTATGGTGCAAGGGGGAAAGGGGGGAATGGGGAAAGGGGAGAATGGAGAAAGGCCGGGGGCAGCGGTGGTGAAGGGCGCGGATCAGGTGGTTGCGAACCACGGCCACGCGCGCGACTTTTCTTTCCGCCGCGACGTGCAAGGTGCGAGCATTGGGTTTGATGGTTTGGTGCAAGGGGGAAAGGGGGGAATGGGGAAAGGGGAGAATGGAGAAAGGCCGGGGGCAGCGGTGGTGAAGGGCGCGGATCAGGTGGTTGCGAACCACGGCCTCGCGCGCGACTTTTCTTGAGTGTTGGGTGCGTTGGGTGGTTATGGTGCTGGTGGGTGCGAGAAGGAATGGCGGAGGGGAAGGGGCCGGGGGCAGCGGCGGTGAAGGGCGCGGATCAATTAGTGGCGGCCCCCGGCCACGCGCGCGACTTTTCTTTCCGCCGCGACGTGCAAGGTGCGAGCATTGGATTTGATGGTTTGGTGCAAGGGGAAAAAGGGGGGGAATGGGGAAAGGCCGGGGGCAGCGGGGGTCAAGGGCGCGGATCAAGTAGTGGCCGGCCCCGGCCTCGCGCGCGACTTCTCCTTCCGCCGCGACGTGCAAGGTGCGCCGGGTTTGGTTGGGATTCGCGAGATTTGTACCCTCTCTGTTTCCTCTCTTGCGCCCCCACCAGGGCTGTCGCTTGCTTTGGGTCCAGAACTTAGCGGGCTGAGGTGCCCTGAATTCAGCCCTTATTTATCCGGGTTGAGGAGTCAGATTTCAACACTTAGATCCAGGGCAGCACATCCTTGTGCACTTGAGCGTAAACACATCGTGAACGTAGATGATGTTCAAATACACCTGAGGGCTGCGGTACATAGCCGGTCTACCATGCAACGGGGTGGGGGGGGGAGTATGTACGTAAGCAGGGGACAATATCAAGGGAAATGAGGGGGTAGGGTGGTAGGTGAAGGCTCTGAGCGTGTACGTGAAATCCGGGTTAGGCGTTCAACCAGCCCGTAAGGGAAACGGGCTGGCCTCAAAGCCAGCCCTTGAATTCTCTGAGCTGGGCCTGAACCAGCACGTGAATTCAAGGGCAAAAAGGGCAAATGCCCTTGTAACGACAGGCCTGGCCCCCACCCTTAACCCCTCTCCCCCCCTCTCTTTCCCCTCTCCTCCCCTCTCCTCCCCGCCCCCTCTCCCCACTTCCCCACCCTTCCTTTCCTTCTCCTCCTTGCAGCAACGTCACTCTTCCGTTCCATACCAGTGCTCGCACAAGACATCTACGCGCGCTTCCCCGGGAAGGTGGTGTACCGCCGCGAGCGCAATGGGGTGGAGGCAGCAGCGAGGGAGCTCTATGCAGCTGTTAAGAATGGTAAGACTTGCAGGTATAGAGCTTGTTGTATGGTCTTATTACGTCTACGCGTGCCTTCCCGGGAAGGTGGAGTAGAGGCAGCAGCGAGGGAGCTCTGCGCGGCTGTGAAGAACGGTAGGCACTGGCGGTCTTGTGGGCCTTGTAAGATTTCGCTTCTGGTCTGCAAGTCAGACTGGGTGTGGTGTATCGCCGTGAGCGCAACGGCGTGGAGGCAGCCGCGAAAGAGCTCTACGCGGCTGTCAAGAACGGTAAGGTATCAGGGTTCGCGGTATAGAATCCTGTGGATTTGATTTGATGGGAAGGTGGTGTATCGCCGCGAGCGCAACGGGTGGAGGCAGCAGCGAGGGAGCTGTACGCGGCTGTGAAGAGCGGACTGTACGCGGCTGTCAAGAGCGGAGGGCTTTGCGGCTGGTAGGGTTTAAGTGATTGTGTTTAGAATGGCAGAATCAGTAGCGCCTAGGACGTTGGGTTCCGGTGTTGGACTGGACTGTGGGTGTGCTGTGCGTGGACGAAAGCACATTGGTGGGGAGGCAGCAGCAGCGAGGGGGCTCTTGCGACTGTAAGAGACGCTTTTGAGGCGCCAACGAAATGGGCTCTACACGGCTGTAAGAGCGGTAGGCACTGGAGCTGGACTGCGAGTGACTCAAGTTGCTTCCTCCCGTTCTCGATCTTTCTGTGTCACCCCTCTGCTCCTCCCTCTACTCCTCCCTCCCTACACCAGGGGCCAACGACAGCAGCGGCAAAGTGGCGGTGGGGCTGGACTGCGAGTGGAAGCCCACGTGGGGGAAAGGTGAGGTGGTGTGGTGGGGTAGGGTGGGGTAGGGTAAGGGCTGGGGCTGATGGGCCTAGACCAAGGGTGCTCCTCCCTCAATGCTCAGGGCGCTGACGGCAGCAGCAGCAGGTCGGCGGTGGGCTGGACTGCGAGTGGAAGCCCACGTGGGGGAAAGGTGAGCGTGGCGGGGTGTGGTGGAGTAAGGTGAGGGGCAGGGGTGAGGGTGGTGGAGTGGAGTGGAGTGAGGGTTGTGGGGTGAGGGTGGTGTGGTGAGGTTTGATGGTTTGGGGTGAGATGGGGTGGGAGGGATGATGATGCGTGCTATACCCAATTCTTCTGCCTCCCTGCTCCCCCTTCACTCTCTCACCTCCCACTCTCTTCCCCCAACCTCCAACTCTTCCACCACGTCCCCACCAGGCCCGGAGAATCCCTGTGCACTGCTACAGCTCTGTGCCAACGCGGACGTCTGTTATCTCTTCCATCTCAAGTTCACCGGAGTTCCCGAGACTCTCCGTGCATTTCTCAAGGATGCTAGCGTGGTCAAGGTCAGTGTGTTGCACTGCCTTTTCCTATGCATATGTGCATTCCCCCTTCCCCCTTCCCCCTTCTGCACGCGTGGCTCAAGGATGCCAGCGTGGTTAAGGTCAGTGAGTTGCACTGCCTTCCCTCATGCATATGTGCGTTTCTTTTCTTATCCCTACGTGCTTTCCCCCTTCCCTCTTCTCTGCACGCGTGGCTCAAGGATGCCAGCGTGGTCGAGGCGAGTGCGAGTTCCAAAGACCACTCTCCATTCTCGTCTCCGCCCTTCCTTCGTCCATCCCTCCGCTCATCCCTCCGCTCATACCCCCCCTCGTACCTCCCCTTTCGTCCCTGCCCTTTCCTTCCCTCTTCTCTCCTCATTCCTCTCCTCTCTTTCCTCTCCTCTCTTTCCTCTCCTCTCGTGCCTCTCCTCTCCCTTCTGCCCGTGCAGACAGGTGTAGGTGTGACAGAGGACGGCCGGAAGCTGAGGAAAGATTTCGGTGTTGAGGTGAGTAGTGGTGGGTGGGTGGGTGGGTGGGTGGGAGGGGAGAGTCCGCTTGTTCGTGCGTGCAACCGTGGCTATGCACCTGTGTTTGTATACATAGGTGTATGGGCTCGTGTTTGTATACATAGGTGTATGGGCTCGTGTTTGTATACATAGGTGTATGGGCTCGTGTTTGTATACATAGGTGTATGGGCTCGTGTTTGTATACATAGGTGTATGGGCTCGTGTTTGTATACATAGGTGTATGGGCTCGTGTTTGTATACATAGGTGTATGGGCTCGTGTTTGTATACATAGGTGTATGGGCTCGTGTTTGTATACATAGGTGTATGGGCTCGTGTTTGTATACATAGGTGTATGGGCTCGTGTTTGTATACATAGGTGTATGGGCTCGTGTTTGTATACATAGGTGTATGGGCTCGTGTTTGTATACATAGGTGTATGGGCTCGTGTTTGTATACATAGGTGTATGGGCTCGTGTTTGTATGCATAGGTGCATGGGCTCGTGTTTGTATACATAGGTGTATGGGCTCGTGTTTGTATACATAGGTGTATGGGCTCGTGTTTGTATACATAGGTGTATGGGCTCGTGTTTGTATACATAGGTGTATGGGCTCGTGTTTGTATACATAGGTGTATGGGCTCGTGTTTGTATACATAGGTGTATGGGCTCGTGTTTGTATGCACGTGTGTCTTTCTGCATGCACATGAGCAGGTGAGTGGGAGGTGAGTGGGCAGGTGAATGGTCAAGTGAGTGGGCTGGTGGACTGTTGTTTCTCTCTGCTCAGAGGAGGTTGGGCAAAAAAACGTACTTGTTTTTTACACTCAGGAAATGGTGGGGCTCAAGGCAATTATGCTCACCCTCCACGTGTATGAAGATTTGTTTTGAGACGTCTCCAAACGAATCTTTATCAGAGGAGGGTGGGCAAAAGAACGTCCTTGCTTCTGACGCTCAGGAAATGGTGGGGCTCAAGGCATTTATGCTCACCCTCCGCTTGTGCATGCTGCGTGTGTGTCTTTCTGCATGTGCATTGGCAGGTGAATGGGCTGGCGGACTGTTCGCCTCTAGCACAGGAGGAAGCTGTGGTGCCAGCCAGAGGGACTGCAGATGATGGGACTTAAGACACTCGCCCACCGCTTGTGCGTGTATTCAATTCGTCCACATGTGCACATACGCAGGTGAACGGGCTCGTGGACTGCTCACCACTGGCACAGGAGAAGGCAGTGGTGCCGGATGGAGGGCAGATGGTGGGGCTCAAGACGCTCACCCGCCTGTTGTGCGTCTGCATGTGCGTGCTGTGTGTGTTTCTGTGCAGGTGAATGGGCTGGTGGACTGTTCGCCTCTAGCACAGGAGAAGGCAGTGGTGCCGGATGGAGGGCAGATGGTGGGGCTCAAGACGCTCACCCGCCTTGTGCTGCAGAAAGAGGTAAGAATTAAGGCGGCTTTTCGGCTGGGAATGCGCTTGTGAGTGGACTCAGAGGTTGCCTCGGCAGATGGTGGGACTCGAGACTCTCACCCGCCTTGTGCTGCAGAAGGAGGTGAGGTGTGCTGCTGGGTGGAATAAGTCTACATCACGCACATGCACAAGTGAAAAGAGTCCAGTGCAGCAACTGTGAGGGCTGTCCTCTGACCAACGCCCAGCTCATCTACGCTTCAACAGATGCCTTCACATTTCCCAAGACAAAAAAGTGCAGTGCAGCAACAGGGAGGGCTTTCCTCTCACAGACGCCCAGCTGATCTACGCTTGAACAGATGCATTTCAATTCTCCCTCCCTGTTCCCCCCAACCTCCCACCCCCAACCCCACCCCAACCGCATCCTCCACTGCAACTGCAGCTCGCCAAGCCAAAACGAGTGCAGTGCAGCAAATGGGCCTCTCACAGACGCCCAGCTCATCTACGCGTCAACAGGCGCGTTTGTGTCGCTGAGAATCTTCCAGGAACTTGACGCCATGCCTTTTACACCTCTCTCCCTCCTAACCTTTGCAGCTCGCCAAACCAAAGAGAGTCCAGTGCAGCAACTGGGAGGGCTTCCCTCTTACTGATGCCCAGCTTATTTACGCGTCAACAGACGCGTTTGTGTCGCTGAGAATCTTCCAGGAACTTGACGCCATGCCGAGCCCGTGGGAGGGAGGAAATGGACATGTGTCGGCAGCAGTGGCAGAATCTGCGATGGCTGTATCGGTGGCAGCTGCTGCAGCAGCAGCAGCAGCAGCAGCAGCAGCAGCAGGAGGAGAAAGAGAAGAGGATGACAAAAAGGAGAGGCAGGAGAAGACGAATAAAGAGACAGTAGGAAAGCAGAAGGGGAAGGAGAGGGAGGAAAAGAAGGGGAAGGAGGGGGAGGAAAAGAAGGGGAACGAGGGGAAGAAGAGCGCGAATGGGAAGGAGGGGCAAGCAGATGTGGAAGCACAGACGGGGAAGAAGAGCAAGAGGAAGCAGGAGGCACCCGAGGAGGGCATGAGCGCAGCAAGAGCAGATGCTGGTGAAAGCAAAGCAGCAGAGGCAGACGGACCGAGAAAGAAGAGAAGAAAGCAAGGGAGCGCAGGGGAAGGCAAGGGTGATGGTGGGAGCAGCGGCAGCAAGGTGGGGAGCTTGAAAGAAGCTGCTGCAGACACGGCGAGCAGGTGGATGGAGCTGATTAAAAAGGCCACCACACGACAAAAGTAGCTACCATCTACTAGCCAATGAAGGCTGTTACACTTTTAAGGCCCCTCAAAAGGCGAGCAGGTGGATGGAGCTCATAAAAAAGGCTACCGTCATCGCCCGGATATAAGACATATATGTCTTATCTCATACACTAAAAAAAATGTTTGGGTTATCTTGTATTTGGGGAGGTTTTGGGTGTCTAAGTCTTATAAATGGAAACTTTTTTTAACTAAAAAATATTGTCACACATCTTGAAAAGAGTTTCTCATTATGAGTGTGGATGTTGCGAAGGTGCCACTTCGGTCGGCAACCATTGTTCGGGACGCCACGTCATGGAGAATACTTGCAGGGGCAACTTTGGTAGTTCGTGAGTCAGCACATGGCAGAATTCGCGTGTCGCAAGGGTAAAAATGTACGCGGTATTTCGATTTTCACTATAATATATTGCAGTTTCAATTAAAAGGCACATATGTCTTATCTCGTACACACAAATAGGTGTCTTATAATGAGGCTAGCCTGTTTATAAGAGACACCCGTATAATAGACAATCCCTGTCTACTATTCAACACTGTCTTATATCCGGGTGATGACGGTACGGCACGGCAAAAGTAGCAGCGGGGGAGGAAACAGCTGAAGTGCATTTTCTGTTCCAAGGAGTTGAGTAGCAGATCCAGCAGTAAAATCAAGTCTTGAGTTTATTTGTTTCTTGCATGGAAGCTTGTACTTACAAGTGTCATGTACCGTAATTTTTATTATCATTTGGCCAGAAATACGATGGTTCAGACCAGAAGGGAGATGGCCACGTGTATAAAACATCCAGGTAGCAGCGATTTGCCACAATTCCTGGCAGAAACGAATTGTACGGTGATTTAAACATGAACAGTATACATTACAATACACTACAGAAACTGATTCAGCGCCCCACCACTCCAGGAAGTCACTCTATCGCTTCGACTCTTGCTGATTGCTGAGTGGTCCGCCTTCCTCGCACATCCGCCCCATCCTCCTTCCCGCTCCCTTCCCCTGCCCCTCCCCTCTTGAGCACTAAGCAACTGAAACGACACCACTCTATCGCTTGACTCTTGCTGACTGCCGGGTGGCTCGTCGTGGTGGCAAATCCTCCCCCATGCTCCTTCTCACTCCCTTCCCCTGCCCCTCGTCACCTTGCACCACCCCTCTGTACCCCTTCCCCCTGCCTTCTCTGGCTGCGGATTCGGTCTCAGATCCTCCCTTCCATCTTCCTTCCGCGCCTTGCTGATTCCCATCTGCTGCTTCTCCCTTCCTACCCTTTCCAACCCTTCCTTTCTCCACTGCTGCACACTGATCGTTCTCCTTCATGACACCCCCCTTCTTCTTTCCCCGACCCCTTCCCTCTCCATCCTTCCCACACAAGCCCGCCTCCTCACTCTCACCCTCCTCTGTTTCTCTCACCCTCTCCACCTCACTCTCACAACCCCTTCCACCAACCTCTCCCCCTTCCCTCGTCAATCTCTCCTGAAATCTCATACTCCCCCCACCACCAACCCTCCCCTTCCCCACTCCATCCCCATCCTCCTCCTGTGCCCCCCTGCCACGCCCCACGCCCCTCCTCTCTCTCACTTTCGGCACACTAACAGTCCTCAGGATAGGCGTCTTGTTCCCATGCCCTTCCACATCCCTAATAATAGCTGCTGCAGTCGCTGCTGCCTGCACTGCTGCTCGTGCTCGCTCCTCCTCTCGCTGCTCCTCTCCTTCCTCTTCCTCTCCCCGCCCTTCCCCTTCCTCCTCTGTACCTGCCAACCCGCTCCTGCTAAACCTCTCGTCTCCGAGCCTGCTTCTGCTTCGAGATCTGGTCCGGCTGGGAGGATTGGGAGTGACAAAGAGTGGGCTGCACAGCGTGCTAGCAGATAGCCCGTTGGAGTGAGCAGCGGCAGCAGCGGCAGCAGCAGCAGCCCCAGCAGAGGCAGAAGCTGTAGCAGCATTCCCAGTAGATGCCATAGCAGCAGCCGCAGCAGCAGCAGGAGTGCCAACAGCAGCAGCATCATCACTGCCACCTGCTGAATTTTTGTCCTTGGTTGGAGTTTGAAACTCGGCTGACTTTCTCCCTCTCCTTGCCCCTGCTTCCGCTCCTCCACTCCCTTCCTCTCCACTCTCCTCTCTCGCCACTGCTGCAGCATCAGCAGCTTCAGCAGCACCAGCAGACACAGCAGCAGGTGTAGCAGCAGTGGCGGCAGCAGTGGCAGCAGCAGCTGCAGCAGCTTCCCCTTCACCTCCACTACTACCACCACCACCACCAACACCACCAGCAGCAACACCACCACCAACACCACCAGCAGAATCACTACCGGCAGCCCTGGCAGCTGCAGCAGCTCTAGCCCGTGCGGCCTCGTGCTTCTGAATGTCATACACAAGCTCTTTCCCCAGCTGCGGATCCGCCGCTAGCAAGTCCTCAATCTCCTCCTTATACTCCTTGAACAAGCACCGCAGACACGCCATCAGCGCCCCCTGCAGCGGGCTGTTCCGAGCCTCCAGCAGCCTCTTGAGCTCGATCAGAACAGGAATGGTGTTCTCGACCAGATTCTTCTTCATCAGCTGAGTAACCACCCGCCCCTTCAAAGCATTCGCCAACGCCCCAGCTCCTCCTCCTGCTGCTCCTCCTCCTGCCCTCCCGCCACCACTGCTACCTCCTCCCCCTGTAACCCCGCCTGCGCTTCCTCCTGCCTCCTCCTCCCCGTCCTCCTCCGCACCTGCGGCCTTGCCCGAGCCTGGGCGCATCTCCTTGCATGAGAGCACGTCCAGGGCGTCCCCTACCACGGTTTGCACCGAGGGGCAGGAGAGCGGCAGGGCGCCGTCTAGCAAGGGCGCGAGCACCTGTTGGTAGGGGAAAGGTTTGCAGGCAGGATAAGGTGGTGTGAGAATAGGGATGCTGCACCCAGATTCAAACAAAGCATCCCCCACCACGGCTTGCACAGAAGGGCAGGAGAGAGGCAGGGCGCCGTCTAGTAAGGGCGCGAGAACCTGTAGAGGTAGGGGAGAGGTTTGCAGGCAGGATAGAGCAGTGTGAGAATATTTTAGGCGCCTCAAGAACCGTCCTTGTCCGCGCCTGCCGCCTTGAATGAGCCTGGGCGCATCTCCTTGCATGAGAGCACGTCCAGGGCGTCCCCTACCACGGCTTGCACGGAGGGGCAGGATAGCGGCAGGGCGCCGTCTAGCAAGGGCGCGAGCACCTGTTGGTAGGGGAAGGGTTCGAAAGCAGGACATAGTGGTGTGAGAAAAGAGATGCTGCAATCAGATCCACAATGTAACGTCCAGTGCGTCCCCCGCCACGGCTTGCACCGACGAGCAGGAGAGCGGCAGGGCGCCGCCTAGTAACGGCGCGAGAACCTGTTGGTAGGGAGGAGGTTCGGAGGCAGGATATAACGTTTAAAGAATTGCGATATTGCAACAAAACCAAATGTTCAGAGCGCCCCCCACCACGGCTTGCACCTAGGGGCAAGAGAGCGGCAGGGCGCCGCCTAGCAAGGGCACCAGCACGTGTAGGCAGGGGAGAGGTTTGCAGACAGGATGAAGTGGTGTGAGAAAATATATTTTATACCTGTAGGCAAGGTTGCGAGCATGTGTAGGAAGGAAAATGGGGAGTAACGTGAGTACCAAGGTGTCTACAGGCAATGGAGAGAGGTAGAGGTGTGAGAAAGGGATGCTGCAATCAGATCCACAATGTAACGTCCAGTGCGTCCCCCGCCACGGCTTGCACCGACGAGCAGGAGAGCGGCAGGGCGCCGCCTAGTAACGGCGCGAGAACCTGTTGGTAGGGAGGAGGTTCGGAGGCAGGATATAACGTTTAAAGAATTGCGATATTGCAACAAAACCAAATGTTCAGAGCGCCCCCCACCACGGCTTGCACCTAGGGGCAAGAGAGCGGCAGGGCGCCGCCTAGCAAGGGCACCAGCACGTGTAGGCAGGGGAGAGGTTTGCAGACAGGATGAAGTGGTGTGAGAAAAGATATTTTATACCTGTAGGCAAGGTTGCGAGCATGTGTAGGAAGGAAAATGGGGAGTAACGTGAGTACCAAGGTGTCTACAGGCAATGGAGAGAGGTAGAGGTTTGTGTGGTGGATAGCAGCAGCTGCAGGCAGGGGGACGAGGAGCAATGAAAGCGATGCTAGAGGCTCCTGCAGACTCTAAGAGTACATTAGCGTGACAGAGCTTGGCGGGGAGTTTTTTGAGACGTCTCAAAAGAAGGAGTGTTTTGAGACGTCTCAAAACACTCCTTCTTTCAATTAGCGTGAGCAACGGCCCTACCTGAAGACAGAGCTTGGCGGGGAGGGGCCCACCTGTAGGCAGAGCTTGGCAGAGAGAGCGAGATGGTGCTCTCGAGCCATGAGGCGGAGTAGAGTGCGGTACACAGTGGTTCGTGCCACGTGGCGAGATGGGCCGCTGGTGGGGAAGAGGACGGAGGGGAGACGAGGGGAGGCAGTGGAGAGAGGAGGTTATGAGATGAAGGGAACGCGGTACACAGTGGTTCTTGCTGCATGGGGAGAGGGTTGTCGGCTGGAAATGAGAGAAGGTGAGACAGAATACAGGGGAGGAGATGGAAACGGAGGGGAGATGGGAGAGAGGAATTTTGTAGAAAAAAGCAGAGAGGAAAAATCCTGCTAAAGATTTTTGTAGAAAAAGCAGAGTGGGAGCGGTGATTAGGCATGGACACACGTAGATGCTGCAAAAACGCGAACAGAGAAACAGGAATGGCCAAAGCGGGGCAAGAGCCAGCCCTCCTCCTCACCGCAATAAGAAGTGCTCTAATTCTCCATCCAAGCCCTACCTGCACCCCTCCCACTCCGGCCCCTTCTCTTCCCTGGCCTCCCCTCGTCCTCACAAACGCCCTCGCTGGGTTTTGAGACGTCTCAGAACTCACCTCAATGAGTTCATCCAAGCGCTCTAGCTCTTCATCCAAGCCCTCCCTCCCTGCCCCTGCGCCCCTCCCACTCCGCCCCCTTCTCTTCCCAGTCCTCCCCTCCTCCTCACAGATACCCTCGCTGGGTTTTGAGACGTCTCAAAACTCACCTCAATGAGAAGCGCTCTAAATCCTCATCCAAGCCCTCCCTCTCTGCCCCTGCGCCCCTTCCACTCCGCGCCCCTCTCTTCCCTGGCCAGCCATCTCCCTCATGGATGCCCTCGACGGGAGAACTTGAATTGGGGCAGTTGGGTTGCGATGGATCGCAGGGGGCAGCTTTGGAGGAGCCAGGATTGGACGAGCTAGGGTTGGCTGAGGCAGGGTTGGGAGGGCTGGAAGAGGAGGGTCGAGGGCCGGAGGAGGGGAGAGGCGGGGCGGTGGTAGTAGAGGAGGGGGCAAAGGGGCAGGCGTTGAGAGCAAAGAGGGCTTCTATGAAGATGTTGTATGGCACGAGGGGCACACGGCCTGTGGAGGGGTGGACAGAGGTGGAGAGGGGTGGAAGGGGTGGGAAAGGGATGGAAAAGGGTGGAGAGGGGTGAATAGGGATGTGACCGAAAATTGGTGGTTGAAGAGGGGGCGAAGGGGCATGCATTGAGTGCAACAAAGGCTTCGATGAATATGTTGTAGGGCACGAGGGGCACACGGCCTGTGGATGGGTGGGGAGAGATGGAGAAGGGTGGAAAGGGGTGGAGAGGGGTGAATAAGGAAGGAGCAGAGCCGTGGTGGTGGAGGAGGGGGCGAGGGGGCAGGCGTTGAGAGCAAAGAGGGCTTCTATGAAGGTGTTGTAGGGCACGAGGGGCACACGGCCTGTGGAGGGGTGGACAGAGGTGGAGAGGGGTGGAAATGGGTTGCGAGTGTAGGTGTAATGGGGCATCGGATGCATGCTTTGAGATGCAGAGAGGGCTCCACATGAAAACTTTGTAGTAAAGGTGGTAGAGAGGCGCAGGTGACTCGCAAATCATCACCATGACTGATTTGGGAAACATGCGACTGAGACTCCGTCCATTAAAAAAAAAAGCAGCATGTGCAGAAATACAGCAACACAGAACCCGTCCCACCCCTCTGCAGCAGCCCTGCCAGCAGCCACACTTCGCTCACAGAACCCTTCCCACCCCTACCCGGCCCCATTCCCGTCCTTATCACTTACGGGGAACAACATGTGTGAAGATGTGAAGGGCCACGTCCCTGATGGCACTGCTCTCATCCACAATGCACAGCAGCACGCGCAGCACCAGCGCCCCACGCCTCTTCACATAGTCCTTCTGCAGCAGCCCTGCCAGCAGCCACACTCCACTCACACAACTCCTTCCCAACCCCCCAAGCCCATTTACCATCATTTTGACTCACGAGGAACGACGTGTGTGAAGAGATAAAGAGCCACCTCCCTAATCGCCTGCGACTCATCCACAATGCACAGCAGCACGCGCAGCACCAGCGCTCCACGCCACTTGACATAGTCCCGCTGCAGCAACCCCGCCAGCAGCACGAGCGTCTGCCGCCTCACGAGCTCGCAGGGGTCGCGCAGGCAGGCAGAGATGCAAGGCACGTGGGGGTCCACGAGGGCCGTGTAGCGCACACAGAGGTCTGTGAGAATGATGACCAGGTTGTTGCGCACTGAGGGGAGTGGGCTTCGTTGCAGCTCCTGTTGGGAGCAAGGGTTGGGAAGGGGTTGGGAGAGGGTTGGGAGGGAGTTAAAATGCAGGCAGGCGGAGATTCAGGGCACGTGGGGGTCGACGAAGGCGGTGTGGCGCACACAGAGGTCTGTGAGAATGATGACCAGGTTGTTGCGCACTGAGGGGAGTGGGCTGCACTGCAGCTCCTGTTGGGTGCAAGGGTTGTGAGAGGATTGGGAATAAGTTGGGAGTGGGTTGGGAGTGGGTTGGGAGGTCGTTAGGAGGCAGGCGGAGATGCAGGACACGTGGGGGTCCACGTGAGGTCAGTGTAACGCACACAGAGGTCCGTGAGATCGACCACCAGGTTGTTGCGCACTGACGGGAGTGGGCTGCGCTGCAGCTCCTGTTGGGTTCAGGAGGAGGGTTGGGAGAGGATTGGGAGAGGGTTGGGAGAGGTTTGAGAGGTCGGGAGATATTTGGAAGGCCTGAAAGCACGTGGTGGCTGACGAGAGTGGTGCAGCGCATACCAGGCTGTTGCAGATTGACTGGAGGACCCGTCAATCTGCACTGAAACAGAGGAAAGGGAAAGCGGCAAAGGAGGAGGTTGATGCTTGCCTGGACGAAGAGCGGCACGCAGGTCTTGGCGAGTGAGTGGTCCACCAGAGAGAAGCGACCCAGAGCCAGCCACCCATGCGCCAACACTGGCACCCGCACCCCTGCTGCCTCCGCCGCTGCTGCTCCTTTTGCTGCTGCTGCTGCTGCTGCTGCAGTCCCAGGGTTGGTTGCAGCGGCGGGAGCAGCAACGGGTACTGGTGGTGCCACTGAGGAATTGGAATTCCCCAGAAGCAGCTCCAGAAGGCACTGAAATGCTTCTTTCAGCGCACTCTGCAGCAACACCAGCTGCTCATACTCACTCGCTCCCCTTCTGCTGGCCCCACCTCTTCCCTTGCTCTTCCCGGTCCACCCTTGCCTCCCACCGGCAGCAGCACCTCTATCGCCACCACTGTCACCATCAACACCAGCCACAGCTGCAGCAGTCGCAGCAGCAGCGGGAGCCCCAGCAGCGGCGGCCCCAGCAGTGGCTGCGCCTGAAGCAGCAGCAACAGCGAGTGTCTCTGCGAGTTCCCCAGCAATGAGTGCCAGCTGGCCGCACACAAACACTGCACACTCCACCCTCTGCCCCCAAGGCTGCCCGTCTGCCCCCTCCTCCAGCTCCTCCTGCTGCTGCTGCTCCTCCTCCTTCGCCTCATCCTCCTCCTCTGGCTGCCCCTCCTGCTCCTCCCGCTCCTCCTCTCCTCGCTGCTGTTGCTGCGCCCTCACTTCCTCCCTGTTCTGGCCAGGGCTCCCCTGCCAACTTTGACCTGCTTTGAGCTGGGATTGTATGATCGCTGTGGCTTGCCGGCACAGCTCCAGGCACCAAGCAGCAATGGTTGCTTCCGGTGATTCGTTCACAGAAGGTACTGCTTCGGCTGCTCCACCAGTTCCCGGGACAGGAATGCTGCTGTGACCTCTGTAGCTGTTGTTGCTGTTGCTATTTTTGCTGCTGTTTCTGTTGCTGATGTTATTGCTGTTGTTGCCGCTGCTTCTGCCACTGCTCCTGCTGCCAGTGGCTGCATGTCGGTTGAGAGTGGCAAGGGCGACCATGTGCACCCCAGCCTGTTTGCAAGGAAACAACGGGGACAGATTAAGCTGAGTTGCAGAAAGCAAAAATGGAAAATCATCCCATTTACAAGTGCTGCCAGACCAGCGAAAGGATTCTGCTAGCTTAGATGGACGTGCACTCTCACGATATTGGAGAGGGCACAGCTAGAGCGTCATAAAGGGCTGGCGTGGCAAAGGGGTAGAGAGCGGCTGTATCCCAAAACGAGTAAGCAGGTGCAGCCTGGGGCAACCAGCATGCTCTGACACACTCCACAACAGGACAAACCGGGCCAATTGCAGCGCCTCACCTCTTCTGGGGACAGCTGGAAGCTCCGCAGGTTGTGCAGCAACCCTGCTGCCACGTCAGCAGCTTTCTCCCCTGGGATCCGTGCAGCAACGTTGCAGAGAGCCTTGAGCACATGCACTTGCGCCTCCCTCTCCTGCCCGTCCAGCACTTCTGCCTCCTTTACCTGCCCGTGCAAAACTCCTGCTCTTCTCTCCTGTCCGCCCAAGTCCCTGGAACCAAAACCTGGAGTTGCACTCTCAGCAGCATCGTGATCAAGAGCAGGTGTGGCAGAGACCGACTCAGGACGAGCAGCTCTAGCTTCCTGCTGCTTCCTGCCGTCCCTCCATCTGGAAATCAGAAACTCCCATCTGACCCCCTGTGGCGAGAAGGAGGTGACTTCCAGCAGTAACAGCCACGCGCCCCTCACCACCCACCTCCACACCCTGCTGGGACTGCCCCCCTTCACACCTGCTGCCTTTCCTACTGAACTTCCCTTCCCATTCGGCTGCTGCTGCTGCTGCTGCTGTGGTTGCTGCTGCGCATTCTGCCATCCCTCGGCTGCTTCAATCACCGCCTGCAGCCCTTCCACGAGCCTCGCGTGGAGCGCGTTTCGCCTTGCCAGAACCGCACATGCGCGGTGCAGCAGCGGCACCACCGACGAGCTCCCTTGCCCAACCGCCATCAGCCACGCCACTACACTTCGCACTGACCCTTCAGCGACTACTGGTGCTCCTGCTTCTCCTGCTGCTGCGTTTCCTCCTCCTGCTGCTCCAGCACCCTCTCCCCCAGCGGCCCGCCCACACACCTCACAGACTCCCTCCCCTTCACAGAGCACAGGGGCAGGAGGCACCCCCCTCCTCCCCACACACACGTGCAGCGGCCTATCCTTGCACAGACTCATCCTCGAAGCCGCAGAGGGGCGGGGAGACGCGGAGATGAGGCCGAGGGGTTGGAGGAGCAGGGAGGAGAGGAGGTCTAGCGCCTGGTCCTGCACAGTGGCCTCGTTGTCGAGAATGAGAACGAGCGCGGACTGCAGCCACTTGGCGCGCAGCCACACGTGGCCTGGGTTTGACATGGTCAACTGAGAGGGCACAGGGAGAAGGGAAGGGAAGGAAAGGAGGAACGAGGAGAGGAGATGAGAAGGCGAGGAGGTCGAGCGCCTGGTCTTGCACAGTGGCCTCTTGTCGAGAATGAGAACGAGCGAGGACTGCAGCCACTTGGCGCGCAACCACACGTGGCCTGGGTTTGACATGGTCAGCTGAGAGGACAAAGATAAGGAGAAGGGGAGGAAAGAATGGAACACACTGGCTTCAACAAGGAGGTCGAGCGCCTGGTCTTGCACACTGGGCTCGTTGTCTAAAATGAGAACGTGCGCAGACTTCAGCCACTTGGATCGCAGCCACACGTGACTTGGGTTGGACATTGTCAACTGAGAGGACAAGGGCGGCGAATGGGTGAAGGAAATGGAAGCAGGAAGAGGAGAGGATTTCAGATCTGGACTGGAGACAGGGTTTGACATTGTCAACTGAATGGACAAGGGAAGGGAAAACAAGGGAAGTGAAGGGAAGGAAACCACGGAGAAGAGGAGATGAGAAGGCGAGAAACCGGACATCAAACAGCATAACAAGGAGCTCAAGGATGCAAGGCAAACGCTGAACCCAGAAACTGGTTCTCCTTGTGATGACTGTACCTTGGACAGCGCCGTGAGAGCCACCCTCCGGACACTCAGCAGCGAGTCAGAACACAGCTCCCCAATGGCATCCACCAGCTCCTCCCTCAGTAACTGTTGGCTTATGGTGGCCTATGGTGATCGTACCTTTGACAACGCGTTGAGAGCCACCCTCCGGACGCTCAGCAGCGAGTCAGAGCACAGCTCCCCAATGGCATCCACCAGTTCTTCTCTCAGCGGCAGCCTCGACAGCCCAACAATTTCCTCCAGAGCCCCCACCGCCGCCTTGCGCACGAGCCCCTTCTCGTCCTCCAAACGCCTCCTCACCATGCCCAACACCTCCTCAACGCTCAGAACCGACCCACCCGTCCCAGCTCCCAATGCTTCTCCAGGCTCCGATTCCCCACTCAGCCCGGACCCACGGCCAATACTTGCGTCAGGCTCGGCTTGTGCATGAGTATGAGGATGAGTAGGAGCATGAGCATGGGCATGAGCATGACCAGCAAGTACAGCGTCCAGGAGCGAAGGGCGTCCTTTCAGAATCCGAAGGGTCGCAGTGAGCGCCACAAGGGCTCGGGCGCGCACAGTGGGACTGGCGTCCGAGGCCCTACGAAACATGAGCTCCAAACAGCCGCCAACACGGCTGATCAGAACGTCTCTCACGCTTCCATTCCCGCTGCTATCCCCAGACTCTCTGCTGTCATTCCCAACCCCCGTGCCATTTCCACTCTCCCTGCCACTGTGAGCATCTCCTTCCGAAGCTGACCCCTGACTCAGACTCACTTCATCCCCCTTGTCGCCCTCTCCATCTCCCCCCTCCCTCCCAGACTCAGTCCCCCTTTCCCCACTGGCTGCCTCCCCACTCCCCTTCTCAATCCCTGGATCCCCCCCTTCCCCATCACGACTCCCACCCCCACCACCCTCTTCCATAGCCCCCGACCCCATGCTCCCTTGCCCCCTTACCCCTCTCCCCCACGTCATTGCCATCCGTTCAACCAGAGCAGCACTTAGATCCAGAGCCACCACCCTCGCGGCTGCCCTATCAACCCTCGCCAGCTTCCCCACGAACAGAAAAAACCCCTCCCTCTCCTTCCTCCCCACCGTTTCGTACACCTTCATAACCGCTTCCACCGCCGCCGCCCTCCCTTCCGCTCTCTCTGGCGCATGCAGGCACAGGTAACGCATCAGAGACTCAACCGCGGGGACACTCTCCTTTGGCGCTTTCGTGAGAATATCGGATGTGACAAAATCGAGGGCGCGGGACCGCAGCAGCGAGGGGGAAACCAGGCTCGGAGCTTTCGAGCTGTTGCTGCTGGTGGCGGTGACGTCAGCGTGCGTCATGAGGATGTGCGGGCCAATGGCCAAGAGGATACAAGCGGCTGTGTCAAGCGGTTTGCCATGCTGCGGGTCCGTTAACTGGAGGTAGGGTGTGCATCGACAGGGGGAGACGAGTGGGACGTACAGGGGGAAACAAGTGGTTGGACAGGGGAAGGGTACCTATCGACTTCAAGGAAAACAGATCAACAATGGCACACAAATTCCCTTGAAGAGGAGAGAGCCTTACTGGCGGAGATAACAGATAAACAATTTACTTTAGCACTCGTACGGATATACCTTGAGAAGCATACGGTACGGAAGTCTCCAGGCCTCCACCGTCCGGCCTCCGCCCACCGAAACCCTCGTCCGATCAGCACCGGCGTATCCCTTCCTGCCTCCCTCCACCCGCTGTTGATCGTCTAGCGAAAATCGTGTGGCCTCCACGAGCATCCCCAGCAGGGACTTACGTGTTTCGCTCTGATTCGCCAGTTTCAGAACGTCGAGTGCTTGGGAGAGGTAACCCAGGACAGACAGCAGAGTCACGCCGAGCCTGCTCTGAGTCTCGTCGCCACCCGGCTGGTTACCATCTTCGTCCATCATGTCGCCCGTTTCGTCGTCCTCATCGCTTCTCAACGACGACTTTCTATGCTTACTTGTACCTTTTCCTTTCCCATGGTTCTTCTTCCTCCCGCCGTTAGCCTTCGCCGCATCAGTGTAAACACTTGCGGAACCGGAAATTCCCGTTATAACCTGTCGAAGGGCCTGTACCATTGCGCTAAAAGCGAGCGGATTGAAGATGCTATAAACGGGGCAGTTGGGCAGCAAAAACAGGTTGAGGAAAACCGCAGCAGCTGTGAGCCTGACGACGGTAGGCTTCTGAGAAGATTCCATCGTAATGCGGAGAGATTCGACGACGGAGGACGCAGAGACCCCAGTTGATGCGAGCGACTTCCAGATCTGCGAACGAAACGGAGGAAAGGTGAGATTTCTGTTTCACAGTCTCGCATGTCAGACTAAGGGAAAAAACGCTCAGAAGAAAAACAGATTCTGGCGAATACTCTGAAATCTGCAAGAAAATCTTCGACAGAAGAACAATGCGGGATTATTTTGAGACGAAGAAAATCGAGGCGACAATAAGATTCGGAGCAAAGAGCTGTAAAAATGTGCAGCGGCGAGGAAAATTAAGCTCCCAGGGTGAACAGGCATGTGACAAGAGAGGGAGAGAATTCGTGCAAGATAGAGAGAAAGAGGCGCACCTCTTGCTCCTGTTCGTCGTGTGTGTAGGACAGCATGTGCTCGAGCAGATTCTCCATTTCTGCGAGAGTCAGCGGCTCTTGAGTGATGTTCTTCTCTCCAGAAACGGAAACTTCGCCAGGACTCCTCGCCATGGCGTGCACGAGCTCGGTGGTCCGCAAACTCATAGCTAGTGACGTCCGCGATGACATAGCTAGTGATGTCTTAGACTTGAGAAGTCGATTATTCTCACGACTCTTGAACTCGTGACGATCGTGGGTAACTGCTACTCTTGAATCGATCAATGCTGACGCTTAGCACCAAGGCAACCATGAATAATGACAAGTTACCAGTTTTTGCAAAACGAGATGCTTTGCAGATCAACCTTGCGGTTCATACGGTACGACATGATTTGCAGCCATACGGTAGTGGTAGAAAACGCAGTATCAGTCCACGGACCAGAAGCCATGAGAAGCATGATCAATCTATAGGCTCTGCTGCTGTAGCTTTTGTGGAATTGAGCCTTGCCTTGGGAATTCACCGGCGGAAGAGCTTGGTCCATGAAAACAGCATCGAGTTGGGTTTACGATTCAGCGGAGCTTGAGTGCCATACCCCAAGAACCGAAGCGTAAACGTTCCGAATCGTGCTCTATGTGTAATGCACCTTCCTAATATCCCCGCGTTTTGGGATTGTCCACAACACACCTCAGCTCCATGTCAGAGCATCTCAGTTCAAAATTCCCGCCAGCCTTCTGATCGGTCAGGAAGCGCTCTGACAGCAGCCAATTCACTATATGTTATGCTCCACTACACCAATACTACTCCAAATTTGACTTGATCCCTTCACATCCCACCTCTTAAAGGTTATGCGAATTGGATTAGACAAGAACGTAAATTGAGGGTTGTTGGAGTATGAAAGGAATAGAGTTTAACATTCCCGTAGGTGCAGCCGTATCGCACCCGTCATTATCGAAGCAGCGCTAGTAGCAGTATCAGATCAGCCCGAATCAAGGGCAGGAAGGTCAACAGTCGCAAGAGTCAACCGTCGTGACTGTTGACCATGTGGACCGACAATTGACTCACCATCGAGGAATGGCAATAGGCGTAACCGTCTATACAGTTACACGCATCGACTCGGTAACAAGAAGAAGTGCAATAGTCGGAGTCACTATAGAAATGTTTGTAAAACAGTTAGAATAAGGGAATGTACCTCTCAAAGTACATGGCTAGCTAGATCTATATATTCTGTGTGTAATCTATGCTTTAATCAACTTTGTAATTTAAATTCATTATACGCACAGTTCCTACTACAAGAATTCCGCTACCCAACTCTCTAAGGCATTCCTATCCTATCCAAAATTCTCACTCTAACAAGGATGCTAACATCATGGACAGCCAATCAACTCGTTCAACTGAGTTGAGACACCATTATTTCACAAACATTTTTTTACGAACTATGCAAAACCAAATTTCGTGTTTTCGTCATCCACTGACCGGATTAGAGGCCATGTAGGCAATTATGTGGGTAAAATGGCCATATTGCATGATCTGAGGGCAACGGACATCACATCGATTGGTTCAAACTACTAACCACACCAACATATTATCTGTTCGATGCAACTACTTAAGCAGCTTTGTGGGGCTGCTGGTGAGCGTCATGCTGTCGTAGTTGATCAACACTATAACCATGAAGAGCGTCGGCAAGGCAACTTATACGCCCACTACCACAATCATACCTCGAGAACAATGCTACACCTACCCCCTGCCTGTGCGCATGTCTCCCATCTTTCTACATGCGTTCGTGAGGCTGAAGGTGGCCGCCATGCTCCCATACTGGTTTACAACCATGCCTTTGAAAAGCATGGGCAAGGCAGCTTAGGACGTGTGTGAAACAAGGGTTTATGAAAGTTCACGTTTTTTACTCGATTTAAGCAGGGTTTTATAACCTGAACTTGAATCGATTTTGAGATGTGGCAAGGTTCGCACCGCGAGTGCAAATTCTTGTATACTCACAATCACACACCAAGGTGCGAATTTGCAAGTTCGAATTTACAGAGGGGGAACCGAGCCGCAATTGGAGACTGTAGGTTACCCGGTTTCAAGCACACCACAGCGCGACACGTCACCGGAGCGCTGCTAAAAAAAGTGAGCCCTAGACCTCCAGCTCAACTTCACATCTGTGGCAGTTGTGCACGATACAAATATCGGCAAGATGAACCAATTTCCAAGTCAGCATCTCACAATGACTCTCATTGTGGTAGGTGCGGTGGTTCTGTTGTAGGTGCAGTGGTTCTGTTGGCTTCATTATGGGAGGTCGACATGATGGGAGCCGTTTATGTTGTGTTTCACGGTGTGAAAGCATGCTAGACCTCTTTTTTAATGCTTGAGGGTTGGTGTTGGGGAGCTGCAACATTCTTGACGAAGATGTCAAGAATGTTGGCGGGATTTCAAGGCCCCATCGTGTGCGCTGGGAGAGACGCGCGCACGACTAGCCATCGTGGCACGAATTGTGCCACGTGGTGGCCATAGCGAGTTCAGCAATGCGCTGTGTCTTGGTTGTGATCTCATTGGCACACGAATGAGTCACGAGAATCGCTGAAACCTCGTACGTGCCTGACACCACACACGTTTGGATCTTTGTGTTTGTGCAAGTTCACGAATTTTTCTGTATCAAGTTCACAAATGAGGGTTCGCACTTCCCAAACGGGGAATTTGTTTCGACTTCGGCGAGGCGGTTAGCGAACATTGGCGAAAAGGGTAACCACCAAAAGTTCGACCCTGATTACGAACTCCATAAAAAATCTCACACGTCCTTACTCCCCTTTCCCCCTTGCCTACTTCCCCTTTACCCCTCAGACATTTGTGGGGCCAGAGGAATTGCAGCGGACGCTCTTCATTCGCGAGCGCTGATGACCAATGATGCTCGCAACCCTCCCACGCCCTTGCTGGCTTGGTAATAGGCCCAGACATGCGCAGCCACGTGGCTTGGCGGAAGAAAAACGCCCGGAACGAGCGCTTCCATCCCAAAAACGCGGACGGATCCGCACATGTGCAAGAAGTGTAGCGGGCGCTCTTCATTCGCGAACGCCGATAACCGACGATGCTCGCAACCATCCCACGCCCTTGCTGGATTGGTAATAGGCCCAAACAAGCGCAGCCACTAGACCTGGATGAAGAAAAACGTTCGGAACGAGCGCTTTCAGCCCCAAAATGCGGAAGGATCCGCACATGTGCATGAAGTGCAGCGGGCGCTCTTCATCCGCGAGCGCCGATGACCGGCAATGCTCGCAACCATCCCACGCCCTTGCTGGATTGGGAATAGGCCCAAACGAGCGCAGCCACGTGACCCGGAAGAAGAAAAACGCCCGGAACGAGCGCTTTCAACCCCTAAACGCGGAAGGATCTGCACATGTGCAGGAAGTGCAGCGGGCGCTTTTCATTCGCGAGCGCCGATGACCGACGATGCTCACAACCCTCCCACGCCCTTGCTAGCTTGGTAATAGGCCCAGACAAGGGCAGCCGCGTGACCCGGGGGAAGAAAAACGCCCGGAACGAGCGCTTCTAGCCCCAAAACGCGGATGGATCCACACATGTGCAGGAAGTGCAGCAGGCGCTCTGCATTCGCGAGCGCCGATGACGGAGGATGCTCGCACCCTCCCACACCCTTGCTGGCTTGGTAATAGGCCCAGAAAAGTGCAGCTACGTGACCCGGGGGAAGAAAAACGCCGGCAACGAGCGCTTCCAGCCCCAAAACGCGGAAGGATCCGCACATGTGCAGGAAGTGCAGCGGTCACTTTTCATTCGTGAGCGTTGATGACCAACGATGCTCGCAACCCTCCTACGCCCTTGCTGGCTTGGTAATAGGCCCAGAAAAGCGCAGCCACGTGACTCAGCAATGCTCGGAACGAGCGCTTCCAGCCCCAAATCACGAAAGGATCCGCACATGTGTAGGAAGTGCAGCGGACGCTCTTTATTCGCGAGCGCTGATGACCGACGATGCTTGCAACACTCCCACGTCTTTGTTGGCTTGGCAATTGGCCAAGACAAGTGCAGCCATGTGACCCGGCGGAAAAAAAACGCCCGGAACGAGTGCTTCCAGGCCCAAAACGCGGAAGGATCCGCACATGTGCAGGAAGTGCAGCGAGCGCTCTTCATTCGCGAGCGCCGATGACTGACGATGCTCAAAACCCTCCCACGCCCTTGCTAGCTTGGTAATAGGCCCAGAGAAGCGCAGCCACGTGACCCGGCGCAAGAAAACCACTCGGAACGAGCACTTCCAGCCCCAAAACGCAGAAGGATCCGCACATGTGTAAGAAAGTGCAGCGGGCCCTCTTCGTTCGCGAGCGCCGATGACCGATGGAGCTTGC